TACATACATACATACATACATACATACATACATACATACATACATACATACATACATACATACATACATACATACATATATATATATATGGGCAATTTCACGTTGCGGACATTACATTCACAGAAAAACAATTAATACAAAACATGCTCTGTTTCCTGTTTGCAACAGTTTCAGATCTGGGAACTTTGTCATAGAAAACCTTAAGGGGACCTCTTAAGATTTCATAAAATAAAACAAAATTCCCTCGTAATCAATTCTTGTAATAAAAAGTCAAAGTACTGTTGCGGACATTACAGCAAAATCAACCACACATTGAAGTGATGTTTTTAAAATGTAATTTCCTGTGAACTTTGAAAGGTAGCAAAGGAACTAAAACACTTCCTGCTCTCAGTGATAATTGGGGTTAGGAAATATGAAAACGAGATGTTCTACAATGCCCTTGCGCAGCTTTTATAGTGCAAAGTTTGTGTTGTGGACATTACACTGAAACTGTTGCGGACATTACATTTTTGGGATTGCATAGCAATCTGTATTAAAAATGATAGGAAATCAAAACTGGGTGACTGATTATGCACTTCAATGTTTCTAGTCCACATAACAGGCATTCTAGCTTAATTCTATTTACATTTGTATACCCATGGGCGTACCGGGCGAGGGGGGGGGGAGGCAGCTCCCGCTGCCCAGTTTGTTGGGCAAACAAAGCCAGTCGGGCAATATTCGCTTCACACTTGGGCAATATTGGCTTATTATAAAAATAAATGGGACAAATTCTGTCAATTTTGTGGGGAATTCTGTCAATTTTGTGGGAAATATGCTATCTATCTAATAGGAATTCTTCGTAATCACTAGTCCCCCCCCCCGTCGACAACAATTTTGGAAAGTTTCTCCGGAAATTTTTTTAACAACGCGGGCACAATCCGAAAAAGTCAGGCAAATTTCTTTCCTCCCCCCTAATTTTTTCCTTCCTGTATGCCCATGTGTATACCACCATAAATCCTGGGATGAAATCATGGTCACATATATTACAGTATATAATCTTCTGTTGACAATAATATCTTTCAAAAGTGCAATATTTGTTGTGCATAGACTCAGGCAATGACTCGGGTTGTGCAGCAAATAAAGTGTCATGTTTGTAGACCATTCTATTTGACAGTTTTGCATTTACTACATTTGGTGGGGATAATTAACACCCCTGGGTTTAGTGGAAGATGATCAAAACAAACATGAATTAAAACATGATTTTGCTCTTAACAACATATGCCTTACAAAACTGATGGTACAATGGCAGTATACGGTAGTGGCATTATATGTAACTTGGAAACTTTCCATGATGAATTGTGTCACTGTGATTGTGTATACAGCACGGAGTGATTATAGTTAAAAGTAAGGGTCCCATAGTCCTTTTAATGTTCTATTTTTAAGTCATCAAGCTTAAAATAACTATAGAATTCAAGCAAGACAATTATATAAGCATCTAATTCTCCAATTTCAAAAATGTAATGTCTGCAACGTAATGTCCGCAACACATTATTCAAGACATGTTAATACTTTTTATTGTCTTTTTCCAGTCTAAAATAATGTTAATACCATTTTAAAAAAGCAGCACAAATATAATGTCAAAAGAGCTAGACGTTTGGCTGAAAAATAAATTGAATTGTTTTTTTGTTGCGGACATTACATTTCTCTTACCCAAACTTCGATGCACCATAAATCACAGCAACACTGGATATTGTCTGATCTAACATTGTCATCATGATATGTGAACCTTAGACTGTGTTTGTTAAGAAATATAACTTATTTCAAAGTTAAAGTGACTGAGTTATAATTATTTTAAATAAACACACTTTATCCACAGAACAATAGCAACAAACAAGTGCAGATTCGACGGTTTGCCGCAGAGTGGGCATGGGCCAAAATTCAAAAATCGTTTTGATTTATGATAATCCAATGTGTTAACTATGGAAACATGTGGTTAGCACCACATAATGTTGCATTTTGCAATTTTGCCATTTTCAATGTCTCATGTGAAATTGACCATATACATATATATATATATATATACATATATATATATATATATATATATATATATATATATATATATATATATATATATATATATATATATATATACATATATATATATACATATATACATATATATATACATATATATACATACATACATACATCCAGCTCATAGAATTACTTAATTAATGAGTTTTAATAAGCCTTTTAAAGTTTCCATTGATAGATAGGTTGTTTGCCTCAAGTATCGTTTGGTGAAACTGCTAAAATGCCATTTATACAGTATACAATAAAGATTAAAGTTGATTTAAATATTGATGACTCACAGCAGCATTATACAAGTTGAAAGAAGCTGTCGGGTTATTCTTCAAGTATAAAGCCCTGAATGGGCAATGGAAGGTCTTTATAAGGTTTTTATATACCTGCTGTAAATTACTGTAATACACAAAATATGAAATGATTTACTATGAAGTACAATACCAGTGTCTGGTGCATATATCGTCCTAAATATTCAAGTTATATGTACCGCATGCATGGAAACACACAGTGGAGTCTTGGCGTTTGTCAGATGACAGATATAGCTATACTTTGACTTCGACATAATCATTCTTGATCGTTGAGTTTCAGCAATGTAAATGAAAGGAATTGTACAGTCCATAACAGGTTTTAATCCTGTGCTTTCACAGTCAAGATAGCACTATTGTTTACACACAGTTAGCGATGTTTGGGAAATCTTGAAAGCGTCCATTATAAAACAAAATCCTTTGTTGAATATCGGACAGGATACACTTCAACCATAAACAACCATATCGTTCATTTGGTATCGTTTGATCGATCAGTCGGTCTTATATATTTCTAAGGCAATGTGTGCTAAACTTTGCAAGCCAGGCGCGTGTGAAGGCCTTTCCTTGGAAGTGAAATATGATCCAGCTTCTCGCTTGAAATGTACTGTAACACTTATTATTGATGACAATCAGTATAGCAGGAAGTTGTGTCATGATGAATACGAATTTAAACATAATCATGAATTTAAAACTGTTCCTTTCACGATTTCTTGTTGCAAATTACATTTTTATCACCTGAAACTATAACACATAAAATTGCAATTTTCCAAATGCAACAGACTCCTCTACTACCCCTCCCTGAGATCAATTCAATTTACCACGCAGAATCTGCGGGGTCACGTGACCAGCCCCGACCAGGGTCTTTCCTCAAAAAGAGGGAAGAGCCTGGGAACAAGGTTGGGACTCTACAGGCATTGTTTAGTCGAAAAGCCACCTTAAGTAGGGGACTCCACGGAGATTCATTTGGCTGTATCTTACATGCAGTATCCATGAGTATGAGTACTTCCGCACACCGTAAGACGCATGCATGCCGTGATGCGCATGTCAAGTAGCGACAATAACAAAAAAATGTAAACAATACTTACTCGACTAAAAAATTACTGTAGGGCCCCTTTAAAGGAAAGGATGGACTGGTAACAATACCTGACAAGAAACAAAATACTACCATTTACGTTAAAGCATGATGTGTGAACTATTTCACACATTTGTTCACGTTTCAAACGTAACGCTTTCTAATTAATTCTATTAACATGTTAGAATCATGAAATGCAAACAATTCGTAACATCAACTGAAACGTTTTGTTACTTATTTTGGCACGTTTACTGGCTTTAATTACAATGTTTTGTACATTTGCATATTGCTCTTTATCTTTAAACTAAGATTTCCACCTGGTGTATCAATTGCCACAATTGTTTAAAAATGGAAATGTTTAAAGTTTTAAGTTTGGCATCATAAGTTATATCAATCTTTATAACAAAGTCAGTAAATGTGCCAAAATAAGTAACAAAACGTTTCAGTTGATGTCACAAATTGTTTACATTTCATGTTTCAAATGCGTTTCGTTTCAAAGTAACAGAATTAATTAGGAAAGGTTACGTTTTAAATGAGAAGTTCCTATATTGGTTAAGACCTAATTGAATATTAAAGCTGATGTTTAGACGAAGGTGGAACCCACTTGACAAGTGCAAAAAGTATGTGTATTTTGTTTCTTGGTGTACTGTTGACAGTTAATTTCTCCTTTCCTCTCTTGCATGCCTTGAAATCTTTTAAGCAGAACAGAGAAACCAACTCACAGTCTACACCTTATATTTAAAGGGTTAATTTACATGTAATAGCTCAAAATGTTTCAGTTTCTTGTACACATATTTGCTTTCATTCTCGTAGGTAAAACATACACCACCACGAGCACAAAGTCCATACCCAAAGGACGATGCAGAAGCAGTGGTAGGTTTTGTACAACCTTCAGAAAACGTACGTCAAACATTCTCCGATTGTTCTTTGCTTGAGCTTTATTGTTGTTTTGTTACAGATGCATCTAACCAAAGGTCACATACTTAGCAAGCCTTATTTGCTACACAGCGATTACCATTGCTCTTTTCAAATGTGGAACGGATGGTGTATTTTACGGAATGGCGGAATTGACGGAATGGCGAAATTGACGGAATGGCGAAATTGACAGAATGACATCTGGAAAAAAGTTTCTTAGTTGTAGAGAACAAGCGTTAAGCTGACAATCTCAACACTTCAATTTTTCAGTAACTACAACAATAACGCAATTTCTATAATTAATAAAAGCTTCACTTAATATAGGAATGCATGATCTGCAGTACATGATTTACATGCAATTGATCTAATTTAACCTAACAAAAAAATTTAATTTAAAATACATTGCCAATAAAAATTTAGTTTGTCTTATTTGAAATTATCTATTGAACTTCTTATCTTGCTTCGTACGTGAAATGTTTTAAGAATGAGCTGTCTGCCTTCTTGGATAATTTATCTCATTAATGGCGGTTTTAGTTATGTCACAACCAGGGTTAGTCGCAAATGTCCTTTAACATAACAGGAAAACAACGAACAAAGTCTTGTGTTGGGGACTTCAAAGATAGACTTGGTATTCAGCCACTTTAGTTAACTACTAAGCCAAATTCGTGCCTTATGTGGTCTTTATGCTGATCGCATAACTTATTAAGGTCTTCACTTCCTATTGTTATATCTTTTTTAGTGAAATTTTCGTTTTTCTTCAGCACGCAACTTTTTCTGAGATGGTAGAAGACAGGCTCCAGCTTGATTGAGTATGTCAGCTCTCCAGACCTATTCTTATACATGTGCATCTCTTTTCTGGTTAAAACAACGTCATATGGTACAGGCGGGATATGAGGTCGAACACGCAACGCTTTCTTGCAACCGTAGCAAATGTATGCCCTTGTTTCAGCCAGCCATCTCAGGTTGTGACTGTTACTCGATTTTGAAGATGTTGGAGTCCTCTGTGCATGCTCCCCTTCGTTTCTTGAGTGACCACGACCCCTGGGCTTTCTCTGTTTTTGACCAGGCTTTTGCCCAGCGTTCGAAGGCACATTTCTCCTCACCGACGTCATCATATTTAGGGGTTCTTTCAAGTGATGAAAAAACTCGGTGTTTTTCAAGAATTCATATATCCTCAGCGGCGATGAAAAAACTCGAGGTATTTTTCAAGAATTCCTATATCCTCAGCGGCAGCTATTGTGTGTTGACATATAGAACGTCTGCACAGGACAATCGCTACAATGCCCCTTTCCAGATTGAAGAAATGTGACAATATGGGGTTTCTGGGGATTATTCTTGGACCAGACCACTCTGCCATCCGTATTTCCAGGCAACTCTGCCATCCGTATTTCCAGGCAACTGTACAATATTTTCAGACTTTGCCCGAGCGAGAGAAGTAGCTTGGTTCCAGGAAGCTTAGAAGCAGTGAATGAAATCCCAGAAGTTAGCATGACGTCATCGCTTTCGTCATCGGCGTTGTCGCGCGCATTTGGACTTTCTAACTGGTCTGACGTAATGCCCCGTTTGCTGCTTACTTCCACAACATCTCTTGCTTTTAGAGTTGCCCTCTTAAACCGCTTTATAAGACGTTATCTTTCGATGTCATCTGCTTCACACCACTTGTCCGCGTCAATTTGAAGGTGGTGGTACTCTTCTTTTAGCTTATAGGGTCCCTGGTCAACTATAGCTCGTTGGACATTTCTTTCTTGACGGTCGGTAATACTTCTAATTACTTCAATACAGTCAATCCATCCTTTTTTGTTGCATTCCGCTTCTTTTTTGTTGACTTCATTAACCGATTCATTGGCATTGTTGTAGAAAAAGTCGTACCCCAATCCAACATCTCGTCGAAGAGGATACAACAGTCCATCTATAAGGTCATTGACTTGATACTTCACAAACCAATCAAAGAACACAACATCATCAGTTCCTTGAGATGCCTTTTCTCTGTCGTTCCATTTTTCTCTCAGAAGAAAAAGGGCATCATCTACATCGTGGCCACTTTCTTTGTCTACAAGTCCCAATTCTTTAGCAGAACTGTTGCCAAATATGTCTGCTAAAATCTGTTCTTTGAAGGGACTCTTTATACCCAAAGATGCAAGCTTTGACACAATATCGTCCTTAAAATGTTTAATGCAGGGCAGTCGGCTTGATATGGGGAATTTCGAACAGAAACCATTCAAAGCGTCGTCTCGATCGGTCCCAACAGCAAGAACGTTCTTTGTGTCTGGTTGCAAATTTGCAATCGTATCAGCAAAATAACTAAACGCAGTGCTTGTTTTCCGTTGATGAAGAAGAACTGGTCCAAGCATAGTGGGACATTTAGAATTTTTTCCCTGTCGCATTTCGAGCATTTGGTGCCTGTAAGTTGTCAGTCTAACGTAAAAGTTATCTATGTTGTACGTTGTATCAATTCCTAACACGCTAAAATTATCTGGATTCGTGCAGTGTTTTACTATTTCCTCTAGCTGACCGTTAGAAGCAAGAACACACGCTGGAAATGGAGATGCTTGGACGTTTCTTAGGAAAGCATTGCCACTATCTTCCTCGTCTTTCCCCTTTGAAATCAAAAGGAAAAGTTTGTCTTTCTTTGCCGATTCTAACTTTCCTCCAGCAGTGGTATTACGGTTAATGTTCTTTACTTGTTCAACGTTTCTAGGAACTGATGACGTTGATTTCATTCCCATCACTCCACCACCTAATTCAAACACGTCATCGTAAACAACACTCTGTCTCTTTTTATTTTGCAATCTTTTCTTCATTTCAAGCACAACACTTGGCTTTGTGCGAAGGTACGGCTTTGCATCCTTTGCTCTTTTTTGGGTGGAACTGTAATCGTATGCTCTTCATTTTCAAAACAGTACATGAGTAAAGAGAACCGCGTCCTGTTACCTTCGTCATCAAACATTTCACAGTACCGTTTTGTGAAATCTTTATCTACCGAGTGCTTCCAATAAGTTCTCTTCACATAAAACATCCCACTTACCATTCGATGGGGTTTACTGGAAAGTTTTTTAATTGAAGATATTTTGCCCTTTGTGTTTCTTACTACCGAAACATAGCAATGCTGCACACCGGTGTTTTTGAATTTCCCGAGATCATCACTTTTGAAATCATGACAGCAATCACCAAGTTCTAAATTATCCAACACAAATGCTGCATTTTCCTGACATCGATTTGGTACTTCAGTGCACGCAGTCATAGGAGATGCCATCAACAGGGTTGCTACTATTTGTTCTATGGTTGGATTCTTGCTCAAAGGACACATTTTCAGGATGTTTGGGTTGCCCTTAAAGGGCATTGTCTTAGATGAGTTGAATAGCCCTTTTACCGCAATCTCATCGGATGAACAGCCAAATAGTTTATCATCATTACTAAAACATATTATCAAAACATATTATCAAAACCACGTCTCTCAAATTTTTTATCGCCCCATGCTGGAGCATTTTATGTTAGAATGCTTTTTAATAAAATTAAAAAGATCAGCTTCAAACACAAAGCGACTTATAAAAATCGACCTACCTAACAATATCATCACTTACAGACATCTCTTCAACATTTAACCTTGGGGAAATACTGCAAACCTTAAAAGTTTGATATTAGGTTATTAGATTCAATTGAATTCAGACAAAATAATCGAATAATTTACAGAAATAGGATTTGCTAAATCGTTTCTCTCACTGATATATAGCAGAGCATGCATTGCTGGATTGACCAATTTCTTCATTTTCTACCCTATTCCTTTGGTGCATGGTGATACGACTGAAGTTCACGGCATCCTTAATATTTAAAAGGAATAGTTTTTAAAATCAAACTGTGTTTCAAATCATTACCCCTCTGTTATACACGTAAATTTGGTATATTACAGACCTGTAAGTCACCTTTGCATTCTGATCCACTTGATATTTCAATGAATGTTATGGGTGATATAATTTAATGTACAATATAGATGTGTCATGGACGCCAAAGCATACATGTCTGCAGAATGCATGTACCGATACTTAGATTTATACAATTTATAGTATATGGTTTTAAAAATGGGAAGTGCTTACCCTCATCCTTTTTACTTAATTGTAATTGTTTCCTGGCAAAAAAATATTGAAATATGATATGAAATTGAGATAAAAAGTATCAAGTTTCTACTATCTATACTGATTTTGCATTAATATAAATGTTATACTCTTTTGAAAATACAAATACAAATTATCGCATGCTCAGGCTGGTTCCCTCTTAGTAATTCCTCCCACCCTATTTTCAAATATTACAGAAAATTTATACCCAAAAATGAGTTATTGGCATGTACTAATAATTATGTAATGTTGGCAAAATATAACTGAAAGCATATACTTGTCAATTGAGAATACCTTTTTAAAGCAACTCTCTTCTTTCCTTTTTTCTTTTGCTGAACCCGTGATTTTGCAGAATGAACTGAAGATTGGTTCTAAACAAAAGCTCGCCGTTCAGTTATTTAAAATAATCAAAAATATTAGTAATAATTTATATCGGTTTTTGTTTTGCCAATCATGTTAGCCATTAACTATGGCCATATAACATATATACTAGGTTACCTAAAATGTAGTAAATGCTGCCTTTAAGAAGCACACGCCATGAACGTTTTAAAATACTGTTTGTAGTGATTACAAATCAAATATGTGTTATCGCATATACGAAATATACAAATACAAAATTTGAAGCGTAGCCTATAAAACTGCGAATAAAATACTATCTAAAATACTATCTAAAATATAGTGAAATATAGCAGTATTAGACTTAATATAAAATCCGATAGTATTTGTCGTTTGAATTTGTACGCACACTGTAAAAACAGCGATTAATTCAACAGATTCCACTTGATATATTCTTGCTTATGCTTTAGTGAATATTACTTCCATAAACACAAAGGCCTGTTTACACTTGACTGCAACTTTGGTGTGACAACACTGCAATTTGCAGCGATTTTTCCATTTTACTGGCTTGTAAACTGAGTTAAATTTTCAATACTTCACTCAAGTTTACAAGCAATACAAAGATTTTGTTCTAATTAGGTTGTTTACAGCTGTTTTCTGAGAAGTGATTGGCTGTAGAAAAAAATTCCCCAACTGTTCGTCGCCTGTTAGTGACGTTAGTGATTTTAATATGAGTTATGTCATGCAAAATGGGTCTGAAACTTTCTGTATTGAACTACCACTCGCTCACAAATTAATTAACTGCATTTATAATTCTATTGTAGATTTATACCTGTGCAATATTGCTTTTAAAAACAGTGTGAAAGTGAAGAATTGTAAATATTTAATAGCACTGTAATTCAAATAGCCGCCCTGATAGCCGAGCGTTGCATGTTGGTAAAATGACTTTCAACCAACATGCTTTGTGGCTCCAGCAAGATTGAGATTTTGAGTAGCTGTCCGATTTTAGTCTGCTGCCTTGCTCGCTCGCTTAATGCTCGCTCGCTTAATGCTCGCTCGCTGCGGCAGCAATAACAGGATATATTCTTAATTAGCAGGATGATTGCATTACGGGCAATACAGGTTCGCCTGGAAAGCACTCATCTTGGTCGCAACATTCCAATATTGATGGACTCATCTAGTTACAAAAACACATAATTGAGACATAAATGACTTACCGTTGTCTGTTGAAAAAAACAAATAAACCTGTTGACTATGCAGTAACTATATAAAAATGAGTTCACTCACACTCCTATGAAATGATAGTAATTTGTTCGTAATTAACTTTTGTAAAAATTATCCTCACAGTCTGGATTTTTCACATGTACATAAAAAAACAAAAGCACCATTTTTAGATAGGCTGCATCGCAATATTCAACTAAGTGTTTGCACACCTTTGCATCTTGACCATCCACAGTACTAGCATCACTCTATTATATATAAAGGAACAGTGAGTTAAGGTTACAGGACACCTTTTGTGCCTATATGCGGAGAATAGAATCGCTACTTTGCGCTTAATGTAAGTCCAATTTTTATGAAATTTTCACAACTGTTCACCTGTACATAAAGGATATCACAAGTTGCAAATTATCTAACAATAAAATAATTTAGGAATTATTAAGGAAAATCGCAGTACCTACGAGGTACTCACTTCAGGGGGGTGTTTGGTTAAATCTACCCGAAAATATCAAAATTTCACATTTTACCTGAAAAAATTTTGTGGCCAAAAATTTTCTTTTGGCGACCTCCCCCCTTCCCTCCCATCGCCAAAAAAATTTCAGTCAGTGTACGATTTTAGGGGTAGCAATTATCAGGGGGTGTCACCCTTCGCTTGCTACGGCCCTGAATGCAACTACTGAGTATGATTTATATAATTACCCTCTCACTATTCGTTTCAAAACTGGACCCTTCCGTAAGGCTTCCTTCAGTTGTTGCATCCGAACTATCATATCCATCCTTCAGTATATACACAAATAACATAATAGAAATGTATTACGGAAAGTAACAAGAATTGCGGGATGAATACAGAACACGATATACTGTATTATCGAAAGGGTATATTGATGCATGCACAAGATGGAAAAATCTTACCACGTGGGCTTGAAGGAAATGTGTTGTTAATTGCTGCTCCGATTCGCAGGCGTAACAGCAATCCGGACATTTCAGCTCCGAGTCATCTGACCTAAAAAGCAAACCATGCATATTTAAAATACACATGCACATATAGGTACTGTTTGCAACATGAGCGGCAGTGTTGCATTGGAATGTGCATGTTTATCAACTATTTTTGACATACAGTTCGTCATCCAGTTTCCGGACACAAGGTAGTTTTCATACTATAAGCCTATAACTCGCCTTCAAAAGGTCGCGTGGTGCATTTTGTAGCCATATCTTTACCTGTTTGCAATGTTTCTGTAATGAAAACTATGCTATTTTAGTGTTTTTCTATTGTTCTATTGTAAAATGCAAAAATGACATGAATATTCATTGTTTATAAACATTCATTTTTTTTAATTTACTTTATGAATTATTCTCATGAATATTTACACTATAATCCATACTTTATTAGTTTGTTTTCAGCAACAGCTATTCGACATAACACTGTTGGATGATTATGGATGTTAGGTAATGAATTGGTGCGCATGCAATATTTTATCAACACTTCCATTGCAACGACAGTAATAGTGGATTGATATACTTTATACTTTGTTTCAAGCTGCAGGACACAAGGACATAGAGTAAAACGTTATGTGTACTTTTAGGGTAACTGTTATATCATAATACCTAATGCATATAAGGCATAACACACCAGACAGAGACAGAAAAATCAGGGCGCAAAAACTGAAGTCGCCACAATAGTGTTGACACCACGTGTCGGTGTGATAGTTCATTATACGACTTCAGAAGACGGGGCCTTATGAAAATTGAAAACATTTTGGGGGCATACAAATCAATTTTACTTCTTCTGCGGAGAAGCTGTTGGGCTCCTAAAAAACAAGATATAAAGCACACATTGTCGTTAGACTACGAATAAATATATGCATGTCGTGAAATTTGTGAAATGTATAAAAAATATGAAATCAGAAGTGTAAATACAATAATTTATTTACCTTTCAAACGGGGTTTTCGCTAATAATTCTTCGGTATCTAAGCTAAACATACAATTTTAATCTGTTTGTTCAGAAAATACTGATGCTATATATATATAGAAATGTAAAAATGTGGAACAAAAAGTATTGACTTTACCGCTATTATTTTCCTCCATCATCATATGGCCAGCAACTCAGCGAAGCAAGATGCGATTCGCTCATTCACATCTGTCTGTCTTGCGCAAAAATTGTCACGTAAAAAATGTCACGAAATTAACTAGCCTCCTCCGCAGGCAACTCTGTGGGGGCCTATAATAGGTAAAAACTTTACCAAAAGTACTCTTTATTAACTTCATATTCAATAAATTTGCATTGCAAACCACTTGAAAATACGAAGAAATTAAAAATTTTGGGCTTCAAATTTTCAGTGGACGCAGAAATGCCTAAAAATTGCCCCAAAAGCAAGAATAACCACAAACGCAGAAATACCATTCCGTCAATTCCGCCATTCTGTCAATTCCGCCATTCCGTAAAATACACCATCCAAATGTGGAATTACAAACATGTACAATAGAGCCAAGTGAAAAAAGTGGGAAACAAAAGTTAGATCCAGAAAGGATAACCCCTTCTTTTTGGTAGGTACTGTAAACGTATTTGTTGACCATCAAGAAGGCCGAGGCTTTGCATCAGCATATTTGTCATTTTTGTTCATTTCTATTTTAACTGTTATTTCAGAGGCCCTTAACAAAGTGTGTGGTGAAAGCAAAGTAAAGAAGACTATGAATCTTATCAATCAAACTATTAAACAGAAATGCTTGGACAAAGTGAAAGAAAAAAGATGTCAAGAAACTTGCAAAAAACGAGTAGAGTGATTATCAGCCAACATGTAAAATTGTGTGTATGTGTAGTAGTTGTGTTGTTTAAGGTTCACCTCTCTGTTAAGGTTATCGTGTGGGCAACAGTTGTCTTTTAGAAGCTAAAGAGGTCTTGATGAGATTACATATTAAAATGACCTGACAGTGGTGTCCTCTTTCTCAAAATGGCTCTGCTCTCAGGGTAAACTTTGGCACATTTATTTATGGAACTTAAGAGGCAGTCCGTGTAAAAACCGACCACTCGAATTTCTTAAGATTACAGATTTCCTTTAAACTTTCTGTGTGGAAGAAGTCATTCATAAAATGAACAAAAAACGTTGACTTTGAAATTGTAGTCAGTTTTAAAAAATTTTTCGCAATTATTTTCGGACGCGTTCGAAAACAAGTTAAAACGTTAATTACCAAGTGATATTTGAGCTTTTTTATATCTCACAGTTCATCTCGCGCTTTTATTCTAACTTCTTGAAACTTACATAATTTATTATTTCCTGCCTAGGCATAAACCTAAACCAAAAATTATCCTGATCATTTGAAGCAAACAAAATATTGTGTATTTTTAAAAACGTCTTTCAGACAGCGGATTAAATATTCGTGTTAGTATGCTCGCGGTAAATTATTTTTTCTCAAAAGTGCAACGGTATCAGGTATCCAATCTATTGCAGCTACTGAGTATTATGACACATCTACTAGAATAAATAATAAAATCTTTGGGCAGTGTGTTAATTTTCGCTAATTCCTCTAATTATAAGCTATAATTTCTTTTTGTATTTACTTAAATTTTTCACGTTAAAAACATACAAAACTGTTTACTGTTTCAAATATGGATGTTTTTTGGATAGAGAGTAAGTTATAAATATGGCAACAATTATATATGCTTGGAATTTTACGTTTATGGGTATCATTAAATACTACATGCATGGTATATATAAACAAAAATGTATATAAGAAAATGCGGGAAAGGATATATGTGTGCCAATTTATAGGAATGCCTTGAAGGAGCACTTTTTTCACATCATAGACATAGTGCAGATTTATTTTGCCACTATAAAATGAAACAAATATTTTATACATGTTTAATATTTTCATGTTTTTTAAGAACTGCAATTACATGCTGATCTTGGTTAAGGTCCTGTCACACTATTGCATATGAGAGAAACGTATGAGTAGCGTAAACCATGCATGTGCATGCATATGTCCGCATACTCAAAAATTTTTAACCATACTTACCTAGCATGGTTCCCCAATTTTTAAATAGACACCTTACGATTTAGGACAGCAACGGCTACAAATACAATAATTAAAAAGAATTCAATAATTGCAATATATGAATAATTTAGACATTGTCCTCGCTTTGTTTACAACGCCAAATCACAGATTTTCACGTCTTGATACAACTGCTGCATTTCAAGCCGCAACAAGTACAACTTCAAACTGGCTTCAGCAGATCTCTTCCCAAACATAAAACCCATTAAATTCATATGATTGCTAATATACCATGAATTGTCTTTGACAATTTGACTTTAGGCCACTATTTGCTGTATATTAGTTTCTCATCCCGCCCGCATGCTTTTTAAGAAAATGGCCTTGTTCGCCATTATTTGACCATTATTATAAATTTTGTGATGTCTCCAAAGTGAAATTTGAAAGAAAGACAATTAGAAACGTTCCCAAACCAAATGTTATAGTTAAAATTCAAAATTTCATAACCTAGCTGCAAGTTTTTCCCACATTACGTACACACTTATTAAATATCCAAACTCAGCTATAAATGTTCTACCGGAAGCCAGGGGCAGGGGAGAAAAACGCCAGACGTTCTGGGTACAAAATTATGAGAATGCTTTCAGTTGCGCTTACTGATTTTGTGCTGTTTTTCAGAAAGTTGCAACTATATAAATGCTTAATGCGCACTTTTCCAAAATAAATTTTATGGGGAGGGGAAATCCAGCAAATAATGGCATAATGGTAATGGCCCGCCAGCCCGCATTAACTTTAGGAGAAGCTCCGGATGAGAAACTAATATACAACAAATAGTGGCCTTTAATACTACCATTTATTTGAAGGAGTTTGTTTTGGCCGTCGTTGTCATCCTAAAATTGTAAGGTCTCTAATAACCCCTCCGTGCGATCGTTAAGTCACTTGCCATTAGATGCCTCTATATATACACCCTTTAGTTACTGCTTCGCCCTTTCAGAGAGATTACGACATGCAGCCTTGGTTCATTTATTTGTTTGAGAATAAGTTTCACTTTCACTTAATATATGCACTTGCTACTTGTTTCGTCGTCGGTTTTAATATATAGCCTAGTAGCTCAAAGCAACAAGAAAGAAATTCGTTTTTTACATCAAAACGTTTTTGTATACCCAACCATGCATGTATTAAAGTTGATTGTTTATAGATTCTAATTTCGTACCTTGTCTCTCTATGCACATGAGAGCAATATAAATGTATAGTAGTACACTCATAGGCGTACAGGATTCATATATGTATTGGAGGAGCTGTGGTCTATATTGCCCGAAAATATTTGGGCCCCTTTCTCGACTTTTCTTTGGGGGATTCCCCCCCCCACCCCGAATTCAACGAGTTAAGATTGTAATGATTTTACGATATAAATATACTGTTAAGAAAGCAAAGAAAAACTTGAAATTACGCGTTTACCGACTTCAAGCGATTATATATGAACCGCTTTTCCCGCGAAAAACATTACTCTCTAATAAGTTGTATAATATACTTTCTTCTAATATTCTCTTGTGATAGATGTGTATATTCGGAGGAAATCGGTGCATATAGTTTTAGTTACCAAGATCAGTATGTTTACAGTGCTTTCATACACTGATAAATAATAAAAAGATAATACCGGCGGATAAAATTAGCAACGCCTGCAGCACATGCGTCAAGACTTTTGTCAGCACAGTCAGCACATGCGTCAAGACTTTTGCTGTATGTTATAAAGCTAGCATAATTGCTGGCATACTTATAACTTACTCTCTATCCAAAAAAACAGCCATATTTGAAACAGTAAACAGTTTTGTATGTTTTTAACGCGAAAAATTTAAGTAAATACAAAAAGAAATTTTTGCTTATAATTAGTCGAATTAGCGAAAATTGACTATATTCATGACGCACTTGTCAGGTGAAAAACAAACTGCCCAAAGGTTTTTATTATTTATTCTAGTAGATGTGTCATAATACTCAGTAGCTGCAATAGATTGGATACCTGATACCGTTGTACTTTTGAGAAAAAAAATTTACCGCCAGCATACTAACACAAATATTTAATCCGCTGTCTGAAGACGTTTTTAAAAATACACAATATTTTGTTTGCTTCAAGTGATCAGGATAATTTTTAGTTTAGGTTTATGCCCAGGCAGGAAATAATAAAATATGTAAGTTTCAAGAAGTTAGAATAAAAGCGCGAGATGAACTGTGAGATATAAAAAAGCTCAAATATCACTTGCATAATTAACGTTTTAACTTGTTTTCAAACGCGTCCAAAAATAATTGTGAAAATTTTTTTTAAACTGACTACAATTTCAAAGTCAGCATTTTTTGTTCATTTTATGAATGACTTCTTCCACACAGAAAGTTTGAAGGAAATCTGTAATCTTAAGAAATTCGAGTGGTTGGTTTTTACACGGACTGCCTCTTAAGTTTATTAGTTAAATGTTAGAACTGCAGGACTTTGTGTTCACTTTCATTTGATTGAACTGTTATACATATTGTAACTGGCTGAAGGGATATTTATATTGTTAATGTATTTCATTCTGGGAAATGTCTGATTGAGTGTGTTTTTTTTTAATTTGTGTACAATCCTTTAGTGTTGTTCAGGACCTTCACAGGATCCTGATATTCCTATTAGCCTAAGAATATTGTGTAGGATCTTATAGTATCAGTTAGGATCTTCCGTAGGATCCTAATATTTGTTTTGGAATCTTGTATAGAATCCTATAAATTATTGTAGAGTTGTGTGTAGGATCCTATTGTGTGTATCATTTAGAATCTTGTATTCTGTAGGATCCTAATAATTATTGTAGGTTCCTGCATAGGATCCTATCTTATTGTTTAGGATTATATACGGGATCCTATTAATTATTGTATGATATTGTGTAGGATCCTATCATATTATTTAGGATCTTATACACGATCCTAATAATTATTGTAGGATCCTATTGTATCATTTAGGATCTTATATAGATCCTAATAATCAATGTAGGATCTTGTGTAGAATCCTATCGTATCGTCTAGGATCTTATACAAGATCCTAATAATTATTGTACGATCTTGTGTAGGATCCTATCATATTGTTTAGGATCTTATATAAGATCCTATTTGTGAGTGTAGGATCTTATGTTGGATCTGCAGGATCCTACAAAGATCCTGTAGGATCCTGCTGGATCCAGTGCGAGATCCTACAGGATCCTACACAGGAACTAATCTAGGGTCCTGTACAGGATCCCACAGGAAAATGGTAGGATCCTTCATAGGTTCAATTCCTACCAGAGGACCTTGTGCTGCATTTTTCGCAGTCGTTCCTGCTTAGGTCTTAAAATGTATATATTCTCACTTGGATTACAACCCTAACATCCTAATATTAATTCCACCAAGTGAAGTGCAAAAATCCATCATTGAAGTCCACAACCTGCACACATGATTACCTATATATACATGAACTTATGGTTACAGCTCAACAGCTGGCCTCTGTAGCTCAGTTGGTTAGAGCGCTGCACCGTAATTGCAGGTCCGTAGGTTCAATTCCTACCAGAGGACCTTGTGCTGCATTTTTGGCAGCCGTTCCTGGTTAGGTCTTAAAATGGTATATATTCTCACTTGGATTACAAACCCTAACGTCCTAATATTAATTCCACCAAGTGAAGTGCAAGAATCTAAGTCATTCAAGTCCTTCATAGGATCCTGCCAGGATTTTCTACCAGGGTTCAAGGTAGCCATGATATTACAGCAATAATATCATGCTTGCAGGTATTCTCTTTGTTCTCTCGCAGGGCAATTAAAAACTAATACACCTCATTATATTCATTTTTTCTAATCTTACCCACTTTTACGTCATGATCCTACCTGATATGACATCAAAGCGGGTACGATTAGAAAAAATGAATATAATTGAAGATATCTAAAATCGCCAAACTAAACAAAGACATGGAAAACAATTATACCATTTAATTTCTACCATTATTTATTCTTAATTGGTTTTTAATGGCCCTGTGAGAACAAATGGAATACCCGTAATCATGATATTATAAGGTAATAGCATAAAAAGAGCTATTAAAACGTCCCGCCCGATGAGGTCGTTTACGTCATCGAGCGGCCCCCAAGGGAATTTTACTAAACAATCCTCCTTTTACTAATTCGCCTCTTTTTATGCTATTACTTATAATAACGTGCTAACTAATGGCAGGTGATGATCCCTAATTCACCTTGATGCCTAAAGTTCAATACTTTGTATTGATAAAATACTGTACAACATCACTTTGACATTCAAGATCTGTGTTTTCCTATCACTGATTGTTTGTTTAGTTTAGGCTCTTTAGCTATGTGTTTTGGCATTTTAGACAGTGCTTTAATTGCCTTAATGCCATTCTGCTTTGCCTTTACCACATCCTCGAGCATTGGAGACAAATATTTATACGATTTGGGTTCTTTGATATGCTTAGAAACCCAACTCTTGTTTGCTTTTGGTTTTTCAACCTTGAATTGCGGCTGACCTTGTTTCCACCCGACTTAAATACAGCTTGAACCCGATTGCAATTATGGTTGTGATCAAATGCTGCAAGTTGAGTATGTGCCAACATTCATCTGTAGCTGAAGTGCATTTGTTTTGGTACTTCAGCATAAGGGAGTGAAAAATGTCCAGTTCCCCAGTATGGTGGAATTCTGTCAATTTCTCGATATCTTTCAGAAGCCTTTTGTTATTCACTACCTCTTCCAGGGCAACAAGTGCAGGTGATCCTGGTTTCAACCATGGAACTTGTTTCTTCTCTCGTCTGCTAAGTCTATGATGCACACATTTCTTAAAGTGCTTCCACCCTAATTTCCAACTGTGTTTGCTGGAAACATGGGGAATGATTGAAAGCCATTTCTCCTTCATTACTGAAACATCTCCATCACATGTAGACACTCCACCATAAATGGTTTGAAACTGACGTTCGTTGTTGGTTTAGCGTTTGTTGTGGACGGATGTCTAAATCTGAGCTCCAGAAATATATTCATATAAATAAATATACTAGATATATTTAACACTTTACAGTAATATCTCCACTGTAATATGTCAAAGGACACAATTAAATCTCTTGAAAGAGAGATCGATGACTTAACTCATTCTCATCAGGTCGAAAAGTAGCAGTTTCGAGTGGTGTTGTTTCAAACCCATATATCTTTCAAACTATACATCATACAGAAACAGAAATTGCATAAACTGTAGTATGTAGTTGAGTAAAATTTACATTTTGTGCTCACATGAAACAAATACCTTTATCAAAGGCAGTCAAAGGTCCTTTTTCATTGCTGTAACATATTATCAATACAAATTTCCAATATTTCATACACTCCAAGGATAGTATGGCACCAGAATAAGTATGTGATACCCACAAAAGAACACTCAAATCACTATTTGCAAAATGTCTTTATTTCTACGGTTATATATACATTCTTAGATATAATCAGTACACCATTGACTTAGTTATCAGTGGTATAACCAACCTGAAAATTTGGTCATGCTGTTCAAATTTTAAATAATCATTACTCATTTCTTTAGAAATTGATTGTTTTCACAATCTAGAACATGAAAATATTTGCATATAGCATGACCAAGTGTTGTTGGGCTGGCATCATCATTAGTAGTTATAAAAAAGTAATGTTTTCCAAGGCAGTAATGTTTGCCAAGGCACATAATTGGATTATGTGGTGAAAATATTTCCTTTTTTGCACAAAATATATATTGGACTACAAAAGACCTAAGACTGTAACCAGACTTATTTCACATCACCACGTCATACCCAAATCCATGCTGCAATGAATCTCTGGACTTCTTCCTGTATAAATCTCAAAGTTGCAATATAACCATTAGGACTGTCTGCAGCAACCCACAGATTTATCCCTCACATAGTAGACCATCTTTCATGAACTGCCTAATCCCCAACCTAATCCCCAACCTATTCCTTGATCTGACAGTGTGTTCATCAACAGCAATTTTCTGTGATGGCTGGTACAGTACTTGTTGAACGATGCAGTTTATTGCTGTAGTCTTCAGTGACAGAATCTACCATATTCAGAAACTTTGCTTTACAGCGCTTTGTACCTAAACCGAAGAATTATTTCTATTGCCCACAGACCATGATGTAAAGTTTTTACACTCCAATAATTTTCAATCTTACTGTCGATCTTTACCAAACCTGCATATACTAAAAAGGCGATCAACCTCTCAATCTCCTCAAGGTTGGTGTACTCCAAGACCCTTCTTTATTAGTATATGGGGATGATTTTTGGATTATTTGTATGTGGGCATATGCATTGGTATGGCCGGGAAACTACCTCCTGAAGCATTTCCTTAGTAAAAAAGAGCTGAATGAATTCAAGTGCACAGTTCATACTTCTGGTGAAACCTTGATTGAAATGGATTCCGGACATGTTCGTGAGGGGCAAAATCTGGGATAATATTCCTAGTGTCAGCATCACCATATCCATCATGTACTATGGGGCCTAGTGGGGGTGCTAGACAGGGAGCTTTCAAAACCTTGGGTCTTAGTGGCTGGGCTTCCCTCTATCTCTACTCATCCCCCTACCTTCCCTCTACAAGTTTTCCTAATGGGGGTTGGGGAGTGGGGGTTCTCGTAACTCAGAACTGCTACTTCCCTGAGGCTATGAAACAGGAACAGCAGCTAGGAACAGGATCAATATCTTAACTATTGTAACTGCAAATAAAAAGTTTTTTATAGACATAATCTATATGGCGCCACTGAGTATGAATACTTGGTCTATTATGTATGTAACAAACAACCAAACATGTGCTCAAGGCTCATTTTACTTTCGAAATGTGTGATTTTTTGTTAACAACACAGTAACATTCTAAAGATGACAATATATACGTGTATATATATATATATATATATATATTAATAGCATGGCCGCAAAATGGACAGTAAATACAATGATAGTCATCACAAATCTTTTTTTAATCAACAATAAACAAAACTCAACAAACCCTTCACCCTTATTTTAGTCTTATACAACACATATGATTTAACTAAAGTCAAGAAACACAAGTTCAATATAAATGTTTTTATGAACAAACAAGCCAGCGAAACTTTGAAATGTTCTACCATACATGGTAGACAGTCTTAACCTTTTAAATAGGTTATCAACAATAATCTATTGTGTTGACCAACAAAACTCAACAAACCCTTCGCCCTTATCTGCAGATTGATTGTAAACCTTGTCTTGATCATTATCAGTAGGAGGCCCTACGTCAGGTAATATCATTTCCTCTGACAAGATATTAAAGCATGTTGATGGACGGTCACATTTCTATAATGTGGATTATTTCTCACAAGCCATAATAATGCATTATACACTTTTTCTCTTCTGACCTTTACGTCCTTAAATGTATTGTCTCTGCCCTTCATGTTAACTACAATAACAGACAAGTCTCTAGCATATCTTGGCAAAACAGATGCAAGCTCTTCAATATGTTGAGGTAAATTGATGCAGTGCCCAGAATACCCTCTTTGTCCATGCGGTTTGACATAGACCCTCATTATTGGTAGAGCTCGAGCAATAAGCATTTCTTCTGTTTGAGTTAGGCCCTGTAACTCAATAGGTACTGCTCCTGGAATCATGCTGTTACTGTTAGAAAATTGTTTGGGTTTGTTTTATCCCTGGAACAGCGTAAGCATACATAGCTACCAGATTTTGGTTTACTGGTAATTGGCCATGCCTCTTTGCAAACTGTACACTGAAAAATTGAATACTGCACAGATTTATGAAATTGTTGCATGTTACATTTTGCCCAGCTTTGGTCATGCAAAGGACCATTTTTCATGGAATCATTTCATGTGGTATTTTCGTATTTCTACTGCAAATACTTGCGGAGTTCTTTCATATTTAATCTTCCCATCATATACGTCAGAAATCAATATTGACGGATGGAATTGAGTTAAAGGCTCAAAGCAAGTCTATAATGGAAGAACTCAAAAAGGTAAAAGATCTTGTTAACAGCCAAGAAATTAATATGGTGAAGGGCAACCATATTTGCTGGACTTCAAATAAAGAAACTCTTAAGAGCTTAGATTATCTTAGCAAAGAATTAAATGTCTGCTTAAATCCATTTTAGGAGACCCACCACACTCTTTGCCCCTGCATTTACCATGGCAGTTGCATGATTCTGAACACGAAACGTCACGTTTTACACATGTACACCTTTTCGTATTTAGGTATTTCCTGCTGGACGGAAGACTTGTTTTCTTTCTCGAATTAATGCCACAACGGCAACCAACTACTCTCCTAACTGGAGTGGGTGCTAAAAATTAAGTACAAGCACGGTGTTAAACTTTAATAGACCTTTTCGATAATTATGGCACGAGCTCTTGCTTAGTCTGGGAGCCTCGCTCTCATGACCAAAGAGAAAGGCTATTGACTCACAAGTCACAAGAACGTGGCTCCAAGACCAAGGAGAGACTTGCAAGTAAAACTTCACTTAAAAATCTAATCCAAGTATGGGTATGGCATGTGTTATGTAAATTTTATCCGTCTTGAATATATAAGTATATACCGAATTTTTAGGTTCATGAAACGTAAATTAAGGACTGATCATTTTTCTTTCAAAAAGACAGGATAACAGTATGTATCTCCTGCAGGGAAATCGGCAATGATGTATCTGATTTACTGGCTGAGACGAATATACATTTCGTGATGAGAATGATAGTGTATCTCGGTTAAAATATGATCTTCAAAAAAACCATATTGATTATTTTAAATGTATTCTATTAAACATTCATGGTAATTTTAACATAATCTAAACGGAATGATAAAATAAAAATTTGTTTTGATATGAGTTTTTTTGAGTGAAAATAGGATGATGAATTGGATAAGAATTCGCCTTGCCGATAGTTTTTGACTTTACAAGATTATATTGTTTGAGTTTGATAATATATTATCGTCAAACTCGAAGATAATAGTCGATACCCGGTTTACATGTACTGGCAGCGTTATTTTGTTTAGAAATTTCATGTATAGTTACTTACAGATCGTAATTTTTCTGTTTGTTGCGATAGACTGTCAGTGGTTTACTGCAAAATAGCATGCACAGACAGTAATTACAAGTAAATATCCAAACATCGATGGGAATTTCTAAACAAAATGACGCTACTTATAAAATGAAACGGGAGTATTTTAACTTCTCTAATGTACATGGAGGCCTATCTGAACACTATTGGTTTAAATTATTATCACGGATAATCCGAATAATTTTAACATTAATATGGACAAATTTAATAATGCACTGCCCTCTATTAAATAATTAGACATAGTTTATTTTGTATTATTTTTTCGTTCTGGTGGCTGTAAACGTCTTGTTTCTGCCATATTTTCTGGATTATCAGGCAAATCAGTAGAAATGAGTGCATCATAATGTCCAGGACCTTGAATGTATGACAAGTAAATAACTAAGTCATTATTAAGATTGGTGCGAGGAAGCACAGGCAGAAATGGCATGTTGTGAACGGTTGTTAAAATGAGAATTGGGATGTGCAGGACGTTGGTCATTGCTAATGGCAATGCGTCACCTAACTGTCCAGCGAACTCACCACTCGTTCTAAACCTCTCTGACTCCAATTGTATATCTATATTTTCAAAGAACGGTATGTACTCTTGTGGATTTTCTCGCCATTCCTCAGCAACTATTTGTCATAGTCTTTGAGAAAGTTCCTCTATATACTGAAGTAGTTGGAAAGCTACGACTCTAAAGAAGCAATTACCGTCACCCGTGATGGGTATGATAGTGAACCCAAAGGAAGTGGCAATATTTCCAAGTCTTTCTCTGTCATTCATAGCAGATGAATCCGTTTTCTTTGTTGTACTGGAGGAGCCTGAGGACAGGTATGTTTCAATGTTTTGAAATAAGAACGGTATTTTCACAAGATTTATCTCTTTAGAAGACCACAAACTCTTTAAAAGCAAGATAATTTTAAATAGTGAGAGTGAATATTGTAAAATATTAAAACTTTCATGACTTGATCTTCCGGTATCGAAGTATGAATGGTCAGAATGCGATGAATAATCACTGTCAGAGTTCTCGTGTAATGACATGGCTTTTTCAATATTTTTCGATAAATCATCCATTACTTGAGGAGTTAATTTATCTATTGTATACGAAGAACAACTAGAAAGAGGCAACCTGGGTCTTAGCTAGGATTTTAGATCTTGGGCGTGTTTCCAATGACCAGGGCGTGCACATGTCAATTACCTTGAATAGCAAAATCACGGTTCTAGTTATGCTCGCCAACAATAATGCCTGTGGTTGTTCTATGCTTTGTAACCAATTACAAGGCGAGCATACACTCATATTGCGCACCAACATTAAAATAGTAAGTTATTTCAGCAACTCTTGGGGGTACTTTAAACCATTTTAACACCATAGAGTTCCCATTATCCATCAAAATATTAAGACATCACGAATCACTTTTGCCAATTCAACAACAACAGTAGATTTTACAAAGTTTCTTACGACGTAAATAGGAAGAAATTCTGTCTGTTGTAAGTAGCACCACCTTATTTTATGAACCTACACGGCCTTATATAAATAGTGAAGCCGCGTTCATTTTATCTAGGCGTGTTTTTCCACTTTTGGCCGCGATAACACGGCTAACACGGCCCTCTAGCTAAGACCCTGGAGGCAACGCTGAACTCTCTCGTTCTTCTGACCTGATACCAAAGTGGGCATTGTGTGCACCTAATTCACTGCTGACAGTGCTGCATTTTTCAAACGTTTCCTTATGTTCCTTTGCACATAGGGAATAAATTGAGTCGTGATTCCCACGTTGCTGATTATGTTTAAAAAAGTGACATGTGAATTTAGCGTAAGCGAGCTGTGTTCCCATTTGATTCTTAGAGAGCAACTTCTTCATTTCTTTGTGCAGGCGTTCATTAACAGAAGTTGAAAATTGTGCCGGTATGTTGCCAAGACAGTCCTTAAGAATATGGCTACGGATTCTAGAAATGGCATTTAGGCGATCACTGTTAAGATCTGTTACACCGTTAGACTGCTTCTTCTCCCATTTTTTCATAAAATGTTGTAAATTTGACAACAAAATATCCTTGCATGGTGTGGGCATTTTCTGAATGTCTCCTAAGTCCTGGGGATGACGGAATATCTTTCCGAAGTCCGATGCAATATCACGCTGAACAGAATCCTTCTTTTTCAATGTTTTTACGAACCTTTGGACAGCGTGGAACAAATCTTGTTTAATCGTAGCTTTTGGGAAAATATCTTCCAAAAGAGATCTCCACTTGCAGCAGTTATCTATACAGATATTTTTTGGACTGTTTGGGTCAAAGCACTTTTTAATATCCAAAAATAAATCTTTTACTTCACTGAAACCTTCTGATTTCGTAAATTGCCAGCTGATAATTTCACCAGGCTTGTTAATGACACAAAATATAGAGTTATACTGTTTTATCCATTTGCCGTCCTCAGCCCTTTTGTATCCGATGTTGCAAGCGCTTTTAAAGGTATGATCACATGATATTGCACTTGCTGCTAGCACATTCATAGCCCTGAGGTACAATTGATTGTTCATGAGGAAACGTTTCAAAAAAATATCAATTAATATGTCATTACCAGGGCATGGAAAATTTTCGCTTGAAAATGCTGGGAAAAATGTTTGTTTTTGTCATATGCGATACCTTAACGTGTTGACAGTTCCAAATCGTGCCAGAAATTTTTTTCAAAATGCTCATAAGTTGTTTTGTATTGTCTTTCAATTAGATTTTCAACTTGATCAAAACTGAGCCCAGCATCAATGAGATCTTCAACAAGAATAGCAAGATCCAGCACGAATCCGTTTTTATGGGTTAAAAAAAAGGGAATGTTCATTCTATCTTCTAATTTATCCAATATAGCAGGATGGCAGGCTGAAATTTCATGCCCATGAGCACATCTGTATACACAACTGACCAATAATACACAAGAGTGCGTCCCAAAAACAATTCTTGGATTTGACTGCTTTTTCCTACCGTTAAACCATTCCCCTACCCGAAAAACAGTCTCTTGCATTAAACCATTCGTTAAACATAAGGGGCAAATCACTGGACTCGATTTGTAAACATCTTTGTAATGTGTCAATAGATCCCATAATATGAAAGGGTATGTGATGTATAAATTCCATGTAAAAATCAACAGTCCCATCACTAAGTAATGGTGCATGATGTGTTATAACCTGAAGTTCAGGCCCTATATTCACAGAATAGGGCCTGACACAAAACCTATCTAAACTGTGGGATTCCCGTCCACCTGGTGGACGGGAAATCTGATTGGTTGATCAGCATCATGAAGGATTTTGATTGGTTGCAAGTTCACATAAACAACAGTTTTAAAAATAGCTCGCTCAAGGTGACAATTAATATAAAGGTCAAACGCACGTAACAAATTCCATTATCGATTTCTTCGAATTTCTTTTCTTTTATGCTTTATGGCAGAAAATAAATCAAACAAACAGTATTTTGAAAGGGCTTTATCAAAATCTTTGACGAATTTTGGACACACGACGCTGAAGAACAGCCAAACTAGTCATACATTCGAAAGCTTGTTGTTGACAGCCAAGATGTTCTGCCAACTGGCTTCGCCGGCAAAAGTCTTATTTTTAATATCAGGTCCTACCGGTATTGTTTTCTGAGCTACATCGCCTTCTTTGTGGTCCGATTGAGAATTTAATTGTTGCTGTTGGTAGCCCGTTAGTCGTTTATAGAGTATATCCGCGTCCAGCAAGTTGAGACCTTTGAGAAAGCTTGGCAGTCAGTCAAGCCGTGCACAGAACTGACTAATTAATATAAATCTTTGTTTGCTGTTCGGTTAAATAGAGAAACTGACTCTTAATTATATAAAATTACCTTGAATTTTTACGTTTAATGAAAAAGCAAAATGCACACTCTGCGGACATGTTCACGAGAATATAATTTTTTTGTGTAACAAAATCTACAACACTTGTCAATCATATTGCATGTGTGTCTAAAAATAACATGTGGGCGTCCCACGGTCTAGACAGGTTTTGTGTCAGGCCCTATTTCAAATTAGGGCCTGAACTTCAGGTTAGATGTGTTATGGTAATAGGTCTGACATCTACTTTCCCTGTTCCAGATTCTTCAGCCAGTAATTTCAATTTAGCCTTGAAATCATTAGTGGCACTTTCCAACGCCTTTTTCATGGCATCGCTTAAAATGATCGCTTGAACTGCATGACAAGAAAGCAACATGAACCAGCTGAAATAAAAAAATTTGACTTTCGTATTACAGTAATAAATAGCGTAGCCAGCTCAATAATTCGGGGAAGGGGAATATTCATTTATTCATGTTCTGCAATTTATTAATTTCTTTTAAAATCGATTTCGTTAAGGTCTGTGAACATATTTGCTATATATAGTATGCAATGCGTCAGATTTACGACTGTACAACACAGAATTAGTGCGCATATTTGATGATGAATGATTTTGAATGATCTAAGAATATAAGAATATCTTGGGTTCAAGAAAGATATCTTTCTTATAAGAATATCTTGGGTTTCATATGACGTCACAAAAGTGACGGGGGTCAACTCTAAAACAAAACACAGTTATCAGAGTGAGTCGATTGTTCGTCTTATGTATTAGCCTTGTGTTTGGTGGCAAGTACATGGAATTTCGTACAATTTTCTCCCTCCAGTACAAGATAAGCATCAGTACATTTCAGAAAAGTTGACCCCGTCGGATTCACTGCATAATGCCATATGAAACCCAAGAATACGTAGTTACCATGGCTACAAATGTCTATGTAGCCACTAAATATTACTCCTCCCTTCTCTCCGAAAACGTCGCAAATGCGATAAAACAGTGTGTGCAGCACATATATTATCTTACAGATGAGATGCACGTTGTGCTTTATATATATTAATGAAGTCATTTGCGTTGTTTCTAACGATAATTATGGCAAATTATGAGTGAAAATTGCAATATAAAAACAACATTTTTGAGTCCAGAGTCCAGTCCAAAGTCAAGTCAAGTCCAAAGTCCAGTTCAGTATTTACAATATGGCAAATAAAAATAATATAAACGAGCAGTGGTGGAAATTCACTTTCTTCAGTGGCGGGGCAAAACCACTTGAACTTCTGACAAACCCCAGTTAACACTGAAATATGTCAATATGGCTGTTTTTAGACTATTTTACTCGCTGTGCAATGGTGCTGAGTTGAGTTAGGTTTCAGAACCAGTAAACTCTAAGTTACCTTAGAGTTCACTGTTCGGAACACATTTTTGTCAATTGTCGTCGATAGTTACAAAATGGAATATTACACCACTGATCAGTTGTGTATTACACCCGCCCATTTTCAAAATTGCGCGACCGAGACGAAAATGCTAGAGTTGACATGGCAGTTTTATGTCATTCGGTCACAAAGTTAAACTTTGAGTTTTGCGGTTCCTTGTCAATGTATATACATTGTATGCTTTATATAAACAAGCTTACAATGATTTTCAAGATATTTTAGTGAGAAGTATTACAAAATTTAAGCACAATAAAATCATAACATCACTGTCATAGTCTAGCGCGTGTTTTATACTGACAGCTAAATTCCAGGATAAATTGTCATTTTTCCAACTTTAATAAAGTCATTCACGGCACATATTTCTGTTGTAATAGTTCGTATTGTGCTTTAGTTTGTATAGTTATGTTTCTAAGTTATCTAACTCATGTTTGTTCAGTTTTGGTATTAAATACGGTTTAAAATAAGCTCTGCAAATTTTTACCCAAATATCCATAAATAACCATACGTTTTGACGAAAATTCAGGTATGAACGATAACCAAATATATTACTGTAAGAACAAAGTATATGTCATTTGCATGAACAATTTCAGTTGGTCTCATAATATAAGTTACAAATACAAGGTCTTCTAGTAAGCATTTATCAAAAACCCATGTGTTAGTTACGATTTTTTTAGATCACATTAAAAAACTCATTAATAATTCATGAAGAAAACACAAACAAAAATCATATCTGTATATGTGTACAGATTCATGTTGATTTACATAAACTTTATACATAATCTCGGCTTAGACAACGTTTATTTTTAAAATTACTTCGCCAATGAACTCATAAGATGAGTCGTTTTTTAAGCCATTTACAACATGAGCGGCCATGTTTTATCGGATATACAAACTCTCTCCTTCGGCTCGAGTTGGTATATCTGAGACAACATGGCCGCTCATGTTGTAAATAGTACATAATGTCAAGACAAGTATCTAAGCAATCAATAAAAATGTCGGTGAGTCAGCCCGTTACAATCTACTAGTTGTCAGTGAGTCAGCCTAAATTCTAATAATCCCATTAAATTAAAAGGCTACAACTAGTGAATCTTTATCGCAATTGTCTGATGTCGTCAAATTAGGGCAGTCAGTGACAACAACATGAAACCAAATTGCTCACCTTATCAACAAAATAGGATAGTTACTCATAATTTCCATTCCAAAATTGATGTTAACGTGCAGAGCTTTACATACTCTGTTAATTTAAATGTACTACGTACTGTGTGAGTAATACTTTCTTATAATTCTAGATATATACACACAAACACCTCAGTAACGATTACAATACAAATATCACCAATAATGGTCTTAACGACTATAACATCTTTAACGCCAATAACACCTTTAACGCCTGTAACACTTTTAACGCCTGTAACACTTTTAACGCCTTTAACACCTTTAACGTCTATAACACCTTTGACACCTTAAACACCTTTAACACCCTTATAACGCTTATCACATCTTTAACGGTTATAACGCCTTTAATGCATATAATACCTATAACGCCTTTAACAGCTATAACACCTTTAACACCTATAACGCCTTTAACACCTATAACGCCTTTAACACCTTTAACGGCTATAACACCTTTAACGGCTATAGCACCTATAATGCCTTTAACATCTTTAACACCAATACACCTTTAACGCCTTTTTAACACCTTTAACGCCTATAACACCTTTAACACCTAAAACGTCTGTAACACCTATAACGGCTATAACACCTTTGACGCCTTTAACACCTTTAACGCCTTTAACACCTATAACATCTGTAACACCTATAACATCTGTAACACCTATAACAGCTATAACACCTATAACATCTTTAACACCTTTAACACATTTAATGCCTTTAACGGTTTTAACACCTATAACGTCTGTAACACCTATAACGGCTATAACACCTATAGCACCTTTAACGCCTATAACACCTTTAACACCCTTAACGCGTGTATTAACGCCTATAACACCTTTAACGCCTTTAACACCTTTAACACCTATAACACCTTTAACACCTATAACATCTGTAACACCTATAATGGCTATAACACCTTTAACGCCTTTAATGGCTTTAACACCTTTAACACCTATAAGGTCTGTGACACCTATAACGGCTATAACACCTTTAACGCCCTTAACACCCTTAACGCCTTTAACACCCTTAACACCGTTAACGCCTTTAACACCTATAACGCCTATAACACCTTAACATGTCTGTAACGCCTATAACACCCTTAACACATTTAACGCCTTTAACGCCTATAACACCTTTAACGCCTTTATTAACACCTTTAACACCTATAATGCCTTTAACGCCTATAACGTCTGTAACCCCTATAACGCCTATAACACCTTTAATTAACACCTTTAACGCCTATAACACCTTTAACACCTTTAACGCCCTTAACGCCCTTAACGCCTATAACACCTTTAACACCTATAACACCCTTAACAACTTTAACGGCTATAACACCTTTAACGCCTATAACACCTTTAACACCTATAAGGCTTATAACATATAATTGTGTACAGATATGGATAAATGGATATATGGTAATGCGATATATATATATATCTATATATGACATCACTAATGACATGCACATATTGGTGATCCGTAACATAAAGATATAACTAACCGCAATTTTTAAGTTTTTTAGATCCATATTCGTCAAGAAAACTATACTTTTCTGAAATTCATTATGTGATGTGATGTCACACCGGTGATATTTGCATATGAAACAAAGTCGCATATCTTGAAAAGGGAGTGAGTTACCAAAATTCTGTAAAAGAAATTATTAAGTCATTTTAAGTGATATTTACAATGCAACCATAAACCTATGGGGTGAAATTTCGTGTCATAGGCACAAAGAATGGATTGACAGGCACACAAAAAAACATATTGATGCACTATCCTCTTTTAGGTGATACAGAAGAATCCAGTGATAGTAAATCTGCTGAGAGCACATGAATTCAATAAATTATTTTGAAATCCATTGCATGAAAGAAGACTGGCATATCTTTAGATATAATTATGTTTACAGTGGGTTTTTAATAAATTTTACAAATTTCTTTCAGATAACGTTTTGTCGGACTAGTACGTTTATACTAAAACAATTAGACAATTTGCATTGTCTAATTGTCAAATATCCTAGTAGTAGAGAACCATGCAATCAGATTGAAGAATAGCTCATATCCAGTGCTTGTGTATATAATAGCTGATAGATAGCGACTAAAGCGACTACCGTATAGCCAATCAGAATGCAGCATTTCCAATAGAACTTGACTAAATAAATGTATGTAAAATCCTTTGCACTAGATCATTCTCAAAAGAAATGAATGGCATCATCAGACAAGTTTCCTTCTTTGTTGACCCACCGAAATACATGGAATCCTGATCTAATCCACCTTCGGCAACCACAGCTTTCCGCATATCACTTTTTATGAATGGAATTCCTCTTCGTTTGCCGGACATGATTCATACCGGAAGGCTAAGCTTGATCCTGATCCGTCCTGCTTTCTCTTTTCCCGTGCAAATTTACGGAGCTACATAGAAAATAAGAAAAATGTTTCTTAAACTGCAGAACTTGTTTGTTATGTCTGTATGCGTCTTCTTTAGTCCAGGAGGAGAAGGGGGGGTATTGTAACCCGAGTAAGGAATTTATGAGAATATGTGAATTTGGTCAATTTTGGGGCACTAATCTCAAAAATCGATGTTACATGGGCCAATACCGGGGCCTTCAGCCTCGTTTTGATGCATACAACCTCATTTTGTGGCATACATAGGGAACACGTTAGTTTTCTTAGTTAGCTAGGGAAACCAGTGATTTTGGTCAATTTCGGTGCGCTGATTTAAAAAATCAATGTTGCACGGGAAAATATCGAGGCCTTCAGCCTCGTTTTGGTCATGCAGCCTCGTTTTGGTGCTAATAGAGGGAAATCATTAGTTACCATAGATAGGCAAAGTCGTTGGTGATCTTGGTCAATTTCGGTGCGCTGGTTTCAAAAATCGATGTTACACAGCAAAATACCGAAGCCTTCAGCCTCGTTTTGGTGCATACAGCCTCGTTTTGGTGCAAATAGAGGGAAATCATTACTTAGCGATAGGCAAAGTCGTTGGTCATCTTGGTCAATTTCGGTGCGCTGATTTCAAAAATCGATGTTACACAGCAAAATACAGAGGCCTTCAGCCTCGTTTTGGTGCCTACATATGTGCCTTAGATAGCCAAGGAAGTTGGTGATTTTGCTCAATTTTGGTGCACTAATTTCAAAAATCGAAGTTATATGCGCAGATATATTGGAACCTCTAGCCTCTGTTTGATACACATATCCTTGATTTAGTGGAACTATTGGGAAGATCCTACTTAAACAAGCAAGAAAGCTAGTGATTTCTGCTCTTTTTGATAAAAAGCAATTCTGTCGCCCCATTAAATTGAGGTCATGTTATGCATGGCATTAAAAAACATGTACATTCTGATTACAAACCTCAGTTGAATTTTCCGTTTCAAAATTCACTCGTGTCTTCAATTTCCACATCCAAATCATCCTCGTAGTCATCATCGGAGGACAAACTGTTCTAACTCTCCGTACAGTAGCGCATCAATCTCCTCGGGATAGGAAATGTCACTCCAGACAACGTTTCCATCTCCGTCCCATCCATGTTCGTCGGGGCTCTCAAGTTCTACTAGCAGCTAATCGGCGTGTCAAAAGATGTACGCGACATAGTTAGCTCTCATGATGTGATGATATTTGACTGGCATGGTGGCATCAGACTTAGGTCGATGATCTTCTTCTCCTTGTTGAACTTGTTCCAAAATACTTTCTTCCTTGCCTCATTGACAGAGAGGATACTTGTATGCCCATATATAGAACAGACGAACCATTCTAAACCCCGAACCAACTCCTCGCTTGCTGTCACCTCCGTACCCAAATGTGAAAATATATCGATAAAGGCAGTGTTCTTGGACACGGCTTTCCACACGGCCTGCTTTCCCTGTCAAAAAAAGCTAGATACATAATCGTTTCCGGAAAAGGCATGCATTCCCAGAAGAGCTGTTCTGTAACCAAGGGACAATCCAGTTGACGTCACGTGATGATTTTTCTGTTCCTCCCGCTGCCATTGTCAGAATCTGCGTGTCCGAAAAATAGTGACCAATGAACAAGGTTATTATGTCTATATCACCAGATGGCGACTGTACCATTGCAGTTGAGCTAGGTGGCAATTGGCTAGCACGCACACATGCAACGAGTTTTTTGTTCGCTTCCTCGCGGTCGCTGGTTAATTCTGGTAATAAACTCGTTGCATTTGTGCATGCTAGCCAGTTGCCACCTAGCTCAACTGCAATGGTACGGTCGCCACCTGGTGATATAATAACCTTAGCTTGTTGATTGGTCACAATTTTTCGGACACGCAGATTCCGATTGACAATGGCAGCGGGAAGAACAGGAAAATCATCGACGTGACGTAAACTGGATTGTCCCTTGGTCACAGATGAGCTCTTTTGGGAACGCATGCCTTTTCCGGACGATTATGTATCTAGCTTTTTTCGAAAGGAAAAGCAGGCCGTGTGGAAAGCCGTGACCAAGAACACTGCCTTTATCGATATATTTTCATCCTTGGGTACGGAGGTTACAGCAAGCGAGGAGTTGGTTCGGGGTTTAGAATGGTTCGTCTGTTCTATATACAGGCATCCACGTATCCTCTCAGTCAATGAGGCAAGGAAGAAAGTATTTTGGAACAAGTTCAACAAGGAGAAGAAGATCATCGACCTAAGTCTGATGCCACCATGCCAGTCAAATATCATCACATCATGAGAGCTAACTATGTCGCGTACATCTTTTGACACGCCGATCAGCTGCTAGTAGAACTCGAGAGCCCCGACGAGCATGGATGGGACGGAGATGGAAGCGTTGTCTGGAGTGACATTTCCTATCCCGGGGAGATTGATGCGCTACTCGCAGGCACGGAGAGTTAGAACAGTTTGTCCTCCGATGATGACTACGAGGATGATTTGGATGTGGAAATTGAAGACACGAGTGAATTTTGAAAAGGAAAGTGCAAGGTTTGTGATCAGAATGTACATGTTTTTTAATGCAATGCATAACATGACCTCAATTTAATGGGGCAACAGTATTGCTTTTTATCAAAAAGAGCAGAAATCACTAGCTTTCTTGCTTGTTTAAGTAGGATCTTCCCAATAGTTCCACTAAATCAAGGATATGTGTATCAAACGGAGGCTAGAGGTTCCAATATATCTGCGCATATAACTTCGATTTTTGAAATTAGCGCACCGAAACTGAGCAAAATCACCAACTTCCTTGGCTATCTAAGGCACATATGTAGGCACCAAAACGAGGCTGTACGCACCAAAACGAGGCTGAAGGCCTCGGTATTTTGCTGTGTAACATCGATTTTTGAAATCAGCGCACCGAAATTGACCAAGATCACCAACGACTTTGCCTATCTAAGCTAACTAATGATTTCCATCTATTTGCACCAAAACGAGGCTGCATGCACCAAAACGAGGCTGAAGGCCTTGGTATTCGCTCGTGTAACATTGATTTTTGAAATCAGCGCACCGAAATTGACCAAGATCACCAACGACTTTGCCTATCTAAGCTAACTAATGATTTCCCTCTATTTGCACCAAAACGAGGCTGCATGCACCAAAACGAGGCTGAAGGCCTCGGTATTTGCCCGTGTAACATTGATTTTTGAAATCAGTGCACCGAAATTGACCAAAATCACTGGTTTCCCTAGCTAATTAAGACAACTAACGTGTTCCCTATGTATGCCCCAAAACGAGGCTGTATGCATCAAAACGAGGCTGAAGGCCCCGGTGTTGGCCCGTATAACATCGATTTTTGAAATCAGCGCCCCAAAATTGACCAAAGTCACATATTCTCATAAATAGCCTGCTCGGGTTACGATACTTCCCCTTCTCCTCCTGGACTAATGGTACAATATCATCGGGCGCCTGAAGCACTGCCAAAACGGTCACTGTGAGTCCTTTCAGCTCAACTTTATAGAGAAATAGTTTCGTTTGCGCTTGTTGGATTTTATCCTAGATATACGCATGTGCAGAACACACCATAAGTTGTATTCCCGATTTCTCGTGTTTATCCAGTTTAATACGCTCTTTAATTAACCTTATCATTAATGATAATATGTAAACTAGAACACTATAATTGACCTCCGCTTGTGGAGATTTTAATTTAGAGCGATTAATTAAACTGAAATCTGTTCTATCACGATGCATTACATGCATGTCCTCACAAATGTCTAGTGTAACGTTCGATAGATTCATTGTCATACGCTCCCAACAAGCAGCAACGTAGTCTTCCAGCCGAAAATAATTACTTTTGATTCGGGTCAGTAATTATAATAGATAACTAGAAATACATGCATGCAATAACCCCTCGCCTGTTTTCAAAAGATGTATACTCAGTGCCGTAGCTAGCACTTCGTCTCAGGGTGTGTGTGAGGTTAGATAGAGGGGGGAGGGGGGGGGTTACCAAAATGTTTCCAGATGTACAAAAAATTTTCAGGACATATAATAATTGTTCCGAAAATACAGTTGTTTTCCAAATTCACTTTCTCATGTCCTGAGAATTACCTGAATTCCCCTGAAAATCTTCTGCAAATCTACTTAAATTTACCTAAAAGTGCACTGGAAATCTACCTGAAATTCCTCATGAGCAATTATCAGGGGTGTTGCACCCCACCCCCCCCCCACCAGTGAGTTTCACGCATTCACGCAAACACTCTCTGATTTATTGTTCGTGTATTTCATCTCCCAAAATTTTGTGCATCATACTATAGAGCATTTTGCTGTTGTCATGGTCTAGCGTGGTTCAAATTTATGAATTTTTATCATATAAAGTATAGTGTTTTATGAACTATTTAAAACACGAGTAGGAGTGTTTTATCAGATATATAACGCGAGGCGCAGCCGAGCGTTATATATCTGATAAAACACGACAACGAGTGTTTTGAATAGCTTAAAATACGACTACAAAAGAATACTAATTAGGATGAACCATAGTATAATCATGCTAATTAAGATGAACAATTATATAATGCCACATGTGTTTTATCAGATATAAAGTCACTCCACGTGACATATTATGGCTGACATGTTTGCCACAAGGTTTATGAATTATTAATAAGTATTTTAAAGAGATTTCGAGCACTGATAAAAATGATAATCTCACATGTGAAATTATTCATGATAATCTCACATGTGAAAATTATCGCCTTTTCAATTATCGCTTTTCTGTAAAAATTATCGCTTTTCAAAGACTGTCCTTTCTATAATAAACAGAAAAATACATGGGTGGTTGGAAATACCAGATTTATTTTTCGTGTTGAACATGACATCTCACTCGTTCGATGCGCTCACTTGTTCGCTTCGCACTCATGTTCAACACTCGAAATAAATCTGGTATTTCGTGCACCCATGTATTATTCTCTATTTAAACTACAACTTGACTGGTTTAAATTATTATCAAGTTATCAGTGATAGTAAAAGTTGCAGATAGAAGTGTTTTGTTTTATATTATTATCAAGTTATCAGTGATCGCAAAACCTCCAAATCCTTAATTTCAAATGTTAGAATGTTAGGGTTTGTAATCCAAGTGAGAATATATACATTTTAAGACCTAACCAGGAACGACTGCGAAAAATGCAGCACAAGGTCCTCTGGTAGGAATTGAACCTACAGCCCTGCAATTCCGGTGCAGCGCTCTAACCAACTGAGCTACAGAGGCCAGCTGTTGAGCTTTAACTGTAAGTTCATGTATATTTAGGTAATCAGGTGTGCGGGTTGTGATAAGGTGGACTTCAATAATTTGGATTCTTGCACTTCACTTGCTGGAATTAATATTAGAATGTTAGGGTTTGTAATCCAAGTGAGAATATATACATTTTTAGACCTAACAAGGAACGACTGCGAAAAATGCAGCACAAGGTCCTCTGGTAGGAATTGAACCTACGGCCCTGCAATTCCGGTGCAGCGCTCTAACCAACTGAGCTACAGATGCCAGCTGTTGGGCTTTAACCGTAAGTTCATGTATATTTAGGTAATCGGGTGTGCGGGTTGTGATAAGGTGGACTTCAATAATTTGGATTCTTGCACTTCACTTGTTGGAATTAATATTATAGAATGTTAGGGTTTGTAATCCAAGTGAGAATATATACATTTTAAGACCTAACCAGGAACGACTGCAAAAAATGCAGCACAAGGTCCTCTGGTAGGAATTGAACCTGCGGCCCTGTAATTCCGGTGCAGCGCTCTAACCAACTGAGCTACCGAGGCCAGCTGTTGAGCTGTAACCGTAAGTTCATGTATATTTAGGTAATCGGGTGTG